AAGAGACATCAAGAACCTTAAGGTTTTTTATACTGATGACCCGCAGGAGAGACTCTTTCGATCTCATGGTGAGTGAAAAGAGAGAACGTTTAATAAACAGAACTCAGACCTTTTAATCTGAAGGTTAATAAATACAATAATAGATCTAATAATCCAATCATTGTTTGTTGTTATATGAGAATAAACTGAATATTAAATGTAGTAACAAACAAACAAGGTGGTTATAAAGTCAGTAAGGTCGTTTGAAACAGTCTGGATGGTCAACCGTGTAATAAATGGGCGGCGAAATATTTATAAATATATATATATAATTTTTAATTTACTATTAACAACACAACCTAAAAATATTTAAGTTCATTTTATCTTTAGTTGTTTGTGCTATTTTCTTAACCATCGGTTTTACATAACCAGGCCAAAACATAGCTTCACACAATTAAGATATATAAATATAGAACAGATATAGACATATACTACAATATGAACCTCTCCTTTCACTGTATATTTCTATACTTGCTTAACAATAAACAAACAAAAAACTATGTGAAGTCTTTCAAACGTGCTTTATTACAACACGAATAAACCCTACTCGACTATAGGGATATATATAGATGTAATCTTACTTGGAAAATGCAATTAAAACTGAAATTGGATATATCTAGATATGGGAATTTCAGCCTGCAATGTCAGTTATATTTGCCATAATTTACTGATTGTCGTTATTGTTGTTACTAATAATTCAATATAAAACATTCTGCATTCACAAATGATTCGTTTTTTCAGACTAATTTGTACTGAGCTCAAGTAGTAATTTATAGGTTATATGATGCTCAGATGACACACATTTCCTTCTAACCAAGACTTTGGTAATACAACGGAAGATAACTTAATAACAATCAAAGAAACAGAAACTAGATGTGTCTGTATATAGGGTAAATTTATTTACGTTATTGGGCGGGTCAATCGTTTGGAGTTAGAACTTCTGTTGATGATACAAATATTCAATACATTGAGTTGCCAGTGGTTTTTAATTTCTACTAAAAATGTGCCCAACAATAAGCTGTTCTTATGCCGTTTCCAAGTGTACTTGTATTTATAAGTAAAAAATTAAATGTTTAATTCAGTTCTACATGAGTATCAAACTATCTCGTCTACACCTTTAAGTTAATAATGTTGTAGCATTAAGTTATTAGTTTACATTAGTTTCTGGTGATTGCTGTAATTGTCATTGTTGTTATTCCTCTGTTTAAGTCTTATTATTACTGTGGTGTGTCTCTTATTTCATCATCGTTTCTACATTTGGCTAGTATTTAGGGTTTGACTTTATTTATTACTTCTGGCTGCCAGCTCTGTAAATTTGTCATGTGTGTACAGTCGGATTAGTTGTGTTAAAACACAATCCTAGTATATTGAGTAAATTATTTTAATATTGTTTTACAATTAACTTGGTTATTTTAATTGGGTATTATTATTTTTACACTATATTACAAGATGATTTATTCATTAATTTGTTATATTTTCTTCATACACATTAAGTGCTTTATTGTACTCTTTACCGTTTTCCTACCCAACGTTTTGATTAAACAGTACAATATGTTGCAGTAATGTATCTCAGATGTTAAGCTACTCTAAGGTTATGTTTCTAGGAAGAATTACACAAAGTTTTGTATATATTAGGACTTTTCATGGGATAACGTATGAAATAAATAACTAACTTTATGTGTTTTTTAAATAAGTCATAGTCTACACTTTCGTTAATGTTAGTTTTATTAGCAGAAGTGATTAAAATGTTTAATATGTATATAATATATTTTTGTTATTTATTTCTTTTATTTATATTTTTATTTTTATATTTTTATTTATATATGTTATTTACTTTATACGATTATTTTCCTGAAATTGTATGTTTGCGCCTTTGAAAAAAAGACAGTAGTAAAAATTTACATATAATGAAAATATTGTATATTATCATATAATTTAAATTTTCTTGATAATTTACTGAAAAAGGTTGCAGAATGATGCTGTGAGAATAAAACACATAAAAAGCCAGATATGTATAATAATAAGTAGATACAAAGAAGAGGGTTTTATGCCAGACAAGAGAAAGTATTTCTGACACGTAAAGTTTTATAAGTTTCATAAAGTTTTATTAGTTAAGATTATTATTGTATATACAGATGCAGTGCTGGCATCAAGTTTCAGATTAAATGTAAAATTGCCATTGTTTTTTTCCTTTTAGGCCATACAATGAGGGAAATTCTTCTGCTAAGAGAAGGAAATTTCAAAAGAATTCCAGACCTTGTGGTCTGGCCAAGTAAGTTTATCACATAAGTTGATTTCACAGACGACAGAGGAATATGTTTCAGTAATAACAAGATAGGCAATGCGTGCTTGGTAGAACGAAACTTTAAGTTTCTAATTCTGCAGCAAACCAAGATGGTTGTAGTAATCATTCAGTTTCACTAGAAACGATGCATTTTCCTTAAGCTATTTTAATTAGGACTTAATAATTACTTACAAGTAATTATATTCATTCAAACTTTCTTTGTAAAACATATTACGGTCGTGTTTCATACGTATTTTAAGATTAAATATGTAGTTAATCGTTTAAATGAGTTTCACGTATATTTTTAATTTCCTTTTTCCAGTAAAGCGGTTTAGCTATTCTAGGTAAAATATGATAATTTATTCATTACTTATAACTAAACATAAATGCTTCAGAGTTTCAGTTAATGAGTATACTGGAAAGAAGAGTGGCCTTCTCTCTCTCTCTCATACACACAGAGACAAAGTAATACTTATTAAATTTTCAAACTTGTGATTTAGACTACGATTCCATATAAGGCTAAAATGGTTAATAATGAGTGAGAATGCTAGTTTTATTAATAGAAGTTATTAAAATGTTTAATATATATATATTTATAAGATATGTATTTGTATTTAGTTCTTACCGTTTTTATTTATATATGTTTAATATATGTTATTTACTCTACGTACTTATGATTTAGATTATGGTTTCTCACAAGGCTAATAATGAGTGAGAATGCTGTGTTATATTTAAAGATTCCGGAACAGCCTTGTAACCTTTCAGTTGTTAATACTGTATATATATATATATATATATACCGTTATGTTTTACATATTCAGAAATGAGGTTAGTATTGTTTGAGCTACGCAATGTTAAACTGTTTATTTCGAAACTTATTTATAATTCAATAATATACTAGAATTATAAATATATGAAAAAAAATTTATAAGTATGCTTACAGATTTTATGTAGCGAGTAGTTTGTTTAAATATTTAGGATTGCGGGCCTTGTTTGATCTAAATTTGGTATCTCAAAGTGGCCGATTACCGTATTGAAAATTGATTCTTTGGGAACTATAAGTTTAAGAATCTCGTCAAAAAACACTTTCCATAATAATTTTTTTCATCAATAATTTTAATACTTTTTATCCATTTTTGTTACAATGACTTAGGCCATTCATTAAATTTACGATGAACACGAGATATTTTCTTAATAAGCAAGCTCAATCTATGACTTTAAAGCTGTACAAGTTTTCACAAGATATTAATAACTGATTATTTATTGAGTTCAATGGTGCCCAGATCTCGAAAATTTGACACGTTTTATTTTTTTCTATCACAAAATAACCTAGTTAATCCCTAATAAAAACAAATTGCCTTTTATGAGTTTTAATTACTTGGTCTAAAACTACAATTTTTTCTGACCAGCTTTTCTTAAACTGTGAGGTTATTCATTTTTTGTCCCGCATAATTAATATTTGATAACGCTAAGAAAAACCAGAAGTATTCACTTTAAAACCAATGTCTCTGTGACGGCCTTTAATTCAAACTAACAAAATTATATCACTACCAAGATAGCTTATTTCCCAGATACCTGTGGATGGATCACTTCTGATGAAATGGAATTCAGTTTTCTGTTACGGATAATTTCGGTTTAATCACGTCTGCGAGAGTATATATAGATATATACTTTATCGTAAAAACAGGGTAGATTGTTGTATATTATAATAAACCCGTATTGTACACGCTACTATTTTGTTTTTTCCCCGGTGGACTGGCTAGGAACCAGCCAGAGCATGTATTTGTTAAAGATTAATAAACGAACTATCAATTTATCGAATTTAAGCGAATCTGTTTAAGGTTTAGTTTTAGGATTAGTTTAACATGTTTGACTGGTCAAACGTTGTGATTTTTATTGATCATCTATTTCTTTCCTATGTATATTTTATCAATTAATAATAAACTGATAATGAATCGTTGTTTCGTAAGTATAACTGTGGGAAGAGGGAAGCTAAATATCATAAAGCTTATTTTACTTATTACATCACATTTGTATTTAATGTTTTAGCTAATATGCTGTTGTAATTTATTATATAGCAAACTGTTGTACGTTGATATCACTGTAGAAGTTAATTTTCATCAACAGCTTCTCATGATGACGTGGTTGAAATTGTTAAAACAGTGAACAAACACAATGTTGTCATCATACCATTTGGAGGTAAGTGTACTTGCACTTTCTTCCTTAAAGCAACAATTACAACAAGTCTTATTTTAAATGAATTGTTACGGATTTCTGCCAAGCGTAATCTTCTTTTTTTTTTCTGTTGCTGAAATTCAAACAGTGGGCCAAAAGTAATTCGCTTTCTACTATTGGCAAAACTTATAAACGGTACAGTATTGCAAAGTAGTATGTTAAATATGAGAGCACCATTACAAAATTCTGAAATCTTAGTTTCCTGTATTATCATATTATACTAAACATTTCTCCCACTAGGTGGTACTAGTGTTTCTGGAGCATTGGAATGTCCAGAGGACGAAAAAAGAATGATTGTTTCCTTGGATACTACTGAAATGGTAACACCAGAATAAACTTAATTGTATCTACATATGTATTTAGGCTTACTTTTTTTCAAAAACTTCTACAGTTAACAAAAAGTAACCTAAAAGTTTGCACTTAGGCTTATAGCTTTCATAGAATGTAAACAAATATAGACTTTCAAAAGAGCCCTAAAGTGGCGCCCCTAAAAAGGTAAGTCAAAGGTATTCAGGCTTTCAACAGTGAACTAAACCAATTTAGTTGAAAACTGATATTACAATGTAAGAAGCCGTCGTAAACAATAACCTAAACTGATACTTTGGAGATTTAAAATTTTCAGCCTTTATTTAAAGTGAAAGTGGTTTTGGAGTCTCATGATTGGATCCACGGATTTGTATAAAAATCGCCATGAATATATGGGTTCCCTCAAAATAAGTGGGTTACGTTTAGATTTTCTAAATTTTGTGTTGAGGTTCCCTAATAAGGAATTTTGGAGACTCTAAGGAAGGCTGCAAGGATGTACTGGTAAAAACATGTAAATGATCACTCCCCCAAAAAGGGGTTTTTTTTTTATCATAGTTGTTGTTTCCCATAAATTTTGAAGGATAATTTATTAGTTTCCTTATAAATCTCGGAAACTCGTTATTTGTCAATTTTCTTATGCCAAAGAGATTTTGACTAAATTTAAAACAAATCTCTATCCAATAATGACGAATATTATATTTAAAACAATATCCACTCTGCTGGGTGAATTAAAGCATTTCCTTCAGAATAGAGTGTCTTTTATGAATTAAAGAGTGTTGTTGTACGTGTTAGATGATAAGACGTAAACAGCTGCTGCACTCTGCATTTTTCCTCGTTTGGCTAGTTTTACATCACATAAAATCAGTATTAATCATAATGAACAACATAGCAATGAAAATCAATTTTCTGTTAAGAACCACACATGTCACATCATAGATGGCTTATTGCACATGATATTAATATTCTTATATTTGTTTTAGGTAAATGCTTCTTTGTTAAAAATATTGATATACTAAGATTTTCTTATACCTCAATTTAATTTATCACGAATAGATATAATACTTTCTGTGTTAGTGCTAACGCACCATGTCGTTCAATTGAGTTGTAACTACTAACTGAAAAATGTATCTAAATATACATAATCACTTGATAGGTTTATTATAAATAATAATAATTAGGAATATCATAGTAAGTAGAAACTACTTTAAATATAGTTACTGCAAAATATTGTTTCTTTAACTTTTTAAATTTTCTACTTTATGATCCAGAACAAAATATTATGGGTAGATAAAAAGAACCACACAGCCCACATTGAAGCTGGAATCTTGGGTAAAGACTTAGAAAGTAAGGTGAGTAATGTGGAATTATGCTTTATATGTTCGTGTTTTCTCAAAAACCAAAACAAGTTTCTTGACCTACCTTGTGTCCTACTGCTCAGAACCGTTGCATTAACTTTCTTTTGTATTGAAGTTTTCGTGTAAACAAAAGGCTATTTTAAACTAATTTGTTAAATTAATAATTTTGGTTTCAAACGTTTAAAAAAAACTTTAAATACTTTAAGTTGCTTCTCACCGACAGAAAGAAACTTTATGTTATCTTCATTTCGTAAATATTCCAGTTTCAGATATTAATGTTTTCAGGAAGATTTAACTCCCTAATTAGGTTTAACTAACACCAGCAGTTATTCATTAAGACGCATGTAATTAAATGTATAAGTTTTAACGTTGATGTATCTCCTTGAAAGGGGTATAGAAACAATTAAACCAGGGGTATCCATTAAAATGGATTTTAAAACCTGAGGATCAACAACTACTTCGTAAATGTTTCAAATTGTACAATATTAATATTGTATTTCCTTTCACAGAATAAAGCTTCTAAAGAGGGTAGTGGTGGTAACATGAAACAGATATCATAAAAATGTCACTCAAGTTTTTCATGTAGTTTGAAATGAAATTGCGCACACTCAGGATGAGTTCGGCATTTAACTGGATAACAATAAAATAAACTCTAAATCAATAGAAAATTGAAAAATACGTAAGCGCTAAACATAGATATAAATGCACTTAAGATCCAGAGTGTGAAGAGTAAGCTGGTTTCGTACCAAAGTCAATATTTTTAAAAGCACTACTCATATTGTTTTATGATGACTACTTACAGATTCATTAATCTGATGATCTGAGATTATACTTCTGACCCCAACATAAAAGAGGTCGAACAGTGAGACGTACATTATAAATAGCTTTACGAAGTCAAAACAAAAAGTGAACGTCAAGTTCTAATAGTGAGGAGAAATAATTTCTCAGTCGGTGACGTAAACGAGCGTATAATTATGTTTATACTGTAAGTTTCGCACCCATAGATAGGCTAATGAACTTACTTCCATTTCCTACTGCCGCGGTTACGTGCAAACACTAATCATTTACAAGTACGAGGCTTAGATGATTCCAGAGGTTTTAAGAAAACTACATTGTACGTTAAATACGTAATAAAAATGTCATACACGTTAAGTTTAAGTTGTGAAAAGAACACTTTCTTGATTGTTCACTGTCATTACGCATAAAAAAATGTGAAACTGAGGTCAATAAACTTTCGTCTAAGTGTACAGAAAACAAAATGAATTTTACACCATCTTAATGAATCATTTAGAGAATAAAGTATCTAAATAATTAAATACAATAATCTATACGATCTTGTTCTTTTAAAATCAAATTTGAAAGTTTATTCCATAGTGACTAATGTCTTGGTGTTTGAAATGTGGCAAGACCACGTTGTTGTTCTAATACAATGATATGAGTTAATGATAAACTCTGGTTCTTTAGAAATAAAAACAAGAAATTGTAACTTCATGTACATATACCTGTAATCAATATTTCTTTCTTTTAGTAAAATGCTTGTTCAAACTTGGGCATCATTTCATTATCTGGGCAATATTTATATGTTTGAAGAACTTTTTAATTTAATGTAAGTAAAAACTATGAAAAGTCTCAAAATCATATCGTGATGGAGTTCCACTTCAGCTTGCTGAGTACGGGTTCTGTACGGGTCATGAACCAGATTCATCAGAGTTCAGTACTCTAGGGGGTTGGGTGGCCACTAGGGCATCCGGGATGAAGAGGAATATCTATGGAAATATAGAAGACATGTTGGTCCACGTGCGGATGGTGACACCCCAAGGTGTTGTGGAGAAAAACTGCCAGGTAGGCTTCCTTGTTGTGGTTTTTTTTTTACAATGAAAGGATTTACAGCATTCGTAATAAGTAATAGAGTTGTGTTTATCTTTGTGTGACCCAGTAATCAAGTAAGAAAATATTTAATTAAAAGTTATTAAATTATGAGATGTTTTAACACATTCGTAGAGGCCACATAAAATAAAAGAGAGAAAACTTCTCACATCAGCAGTTTAGGGAAGAGAAACAGAACCGATCAAACAGGTGTTGAAA